TGTACATTTTTTCACTCAGTAGTTTTATACGGGTACGGACGAAAAGTTATTACTCTTCAAAACAGTTAAAACACATGTAGGTGGCGCCCTCTACAAATAGGAGTCATATTAACATCAAAATCAAGTTTCTCATGTCAAAAAAAAACCAGACACCAATTTTCATCTAAATATTGACGTTCCTTCAGAAATTATTTGGAAAAAATCGAAATAAAAATGAAAATTCTACACCCTGTATCTCCGAAACTAAGCATTTTAGGACATACATTTATAAGAACTTTTTTACTTATTTTTATCTGCAGAATATGCTGCTGAAGTTCCCGGAATACAGTTCGGACCACCCTGTATAAAATCCTTAAGTGACTGATTCACTGATTAATCACGATCCTGTTAAAGCCACTCAACGTAAGAAGTTCAATTTTGGCATATAGGATGATTCTAGGGTGTAGAGGTTCTATAAAAAAGGATTTTTCGAAATTATAAAAGGATTTTTCGAATTAAAAAACTGTCAAGTTTACGAAAAAAACGCTTAAACACATATATTTTATTTTGTTTTTTACATATTTTAAGATTTTTTAATGATGTATACAGGGTGTTTCGAAAAATCTGGTCATTGATTAATCACAAACCTGCTAAAAGCGTTTGACGTAAAAAGCTGATTTTTGGAAAACGGATTGACTTTAGGGCGTAGAGGTTTGATAAGAAGGGATTTTTCGAAACTCAAATTCTAAGATGGTGAAACCACCCCTCAAATATTAGAATATTTTTTATTTAAAAACCGGTGAGTTTTTCGGAAAAATTCTTAAACACGTAGGTATATTTTATTTTGTTGTTTTACATATTTTAAATTTTTTTAAAAATTATACAGGGTGTTTCATAAATATGACCATTGAGTAATCATAATTCTGCTTAAACTGCTTGACGTTTAAATCTGATTTTTGGCAAACGGATTGACTGTGGGGTGTAGAGGTTCGATAAGGAGGGGTTTCTCGAATCTCAAGTTCCAAGAGGGTGAAAACGCCCCCAAATATTACAATATTTGATATTTAAAAAACGGTTAGTCTTTCGGGAAAACGCTTGGTCACGCATAATTTTGTTTTTTTACATATTTTGAATTTTTTAAAAAAATCATGCAGGGTGTTCCAAAAAGTTGGGTAATTGATTAACCACGATTCTGCTTAAACTGCTTGACGTAAGAAGCTTATTTTTGGCAAACGGATTTTTCAAAAGTCAAATTCCAACGAGATATAATAATATCGCCATATTGTTTTTTCTCATGCTGACATAAATGTGAGAACATTTTATCCAGTTTGTATGTTAATGGAAATTCTTGCTTTGCTTTATCATCACCATTACAAATGATTAATTCACCGCAAACGATGATTAATTCGCGGGTACACGGTAGTAATTAATAGCTTTGTAATTAATTTATTTTTGTTTAGTAAACTTTTTTGATTAAAAGAAACTGTGTAAAAGTGGGCAATGCTGTGCCGGTCAAGCTTAATCACGTGACTAAAAGTATATTTGATATGATTCATATTTAAAGAATCGCAGTAGTGATTTTTCTTCAATATTGGGTAGAAAACGAAAACCACACTCATTGAGAGTCAAACATGAGAGGTATCGATACTCTGGATCATAGTATCGTATAATGTATCCCTAAACTGAGTTCGATTCTGAAAATCTGTTCTGAATCTGGGACGGCGCTGAAAACACTTCCGCCATGCCACGCCGCGGTCAGGTCAAGCAGGCCAGCGAAAACATCTGCCTGTATCGTGGAACGACCGATTGACGTGAAAAACAAAAATAAAATGAAAATTTGCCCGATGATTATAGCTTCGGGCCCATCCCATACCGTACAACATCATTACCCAGTGGCGCACCAAGTATACACTACGAAAAAAAATTAAGATAAAACCTTGGAGAAAGAATCATATAAATAGACAAATGTTACTCTACAAAATGAAGAAGAATTGTTGTCCCGAATGTCCCGAATCTATAATAGAGCATTCTCTATTGTCTCTCTTTTTCTCTATTGCCTCCTTGGATTTGAGATTTAAGATCAATTGATGTCAATGGATGGACGTCAACAATGGACGGCTTTCCATCCCGGCTTCTTTCTCTCCTTGCCCAAGCCGATTATTATTATATTAGTTTTTGAAATATTTAAATTTTTGTCAAAATACACTAATAATTTAATTATGCATATTCATGTTACGTACCTATTTAAGTTTTTAAAACCAAATATTGTACTGAAGTATTTCTATTTACTAAATTTTGTGTTGCAATAATAAAAATTATAGTAACTTATACAGGGTGTCTAAAAAATTATTTAAAATAATTACTAGCTTTAAACGGCAATAACTTGTTTAATTTAAATAAAACACCCTGTATATTTTATGACAGTCAAATGCACAATTTAATGTCTATCAGATTGTCAACCAAATATCAAACCATTTTTTACCTATCTCTTCAAGTTTTCGTAGAAAATGCATTTTCTTATAATTTAGACCTTATTTATCAATATACCGATGGAATATAGACATTTTAGATTATTTTTAAAGAGTATAGATACTAATATTGTCGATATAGTTCGTTAATTTCAATAAAAAATAAAAATAAAACTGATTAAATATTTGTTAAACAGGACCAATTAATAAATTCCAGTATTCAAACTACATGAATTTACTGTTTGCAGTGATTAATAATAACACAGATTAGGTATTATACTAAAGGCTGATTCATGGTACACCGTGACGGACCGGGGCCGTGCGACGGTGAAGGCACGGCCAAACATTGTCAAATGGTATTTATACCTATGCATTCATGCTAAGCCGAGCACGGGCCGAGCTTCTACTACCGTGTCTACTTTACGGAACGTGCCCGGCTCGGGTACGGCCCGGTGTACCATGAATCAGCCTTAATTCGTGGTACGAAAATTGTTTTTTTATGACGATGTGCAAACGAGTCAAATTTCCTGTGCGCAAAAATAAACTCGCGTAAAATAACAATAAACAGCGTAATAGAGAGATATCGATAAACAGAATAGCGTGCATGGAAGTTAATAAGGCCAGGTGTTATTTCCTTTACGTGAGGTGGTATTAACTCTCTTCATTTATAGTTATCGGATCGGAAAGAATTCTGATCGCGTCGCGTCCGCTATTTAAACTTAACCTAACTTTGAATTTAAAACTTTGAAATTGTTTTGTTTACTAGGTATTTTAAAACTAAAGGGCTAAAGTGCTTATTTCCAGTGCTTTATTGTTCAACGTCTGCCAGTGGGTTTAGGGCAACAAGCAACAAATTCTCTTAGAAGGGCTAAGTCGTCATCTGCTGTTAACCTAAGACTTTTTATAGGTTCTTTAGTATTGGAAGAGGTGGAATCCATATTTTGGGCCATATTTATTTAATTAAAATTAATCCCAGCTACTTAAATATCAAATTATCTAATAAAACTAAAGCAATAATTCAAAACAATTCAAACATAACCTAAAATAAAAGATCTCGCCGGCCGGCTCCGGTTGTCAAATACCCGCACATGCCCATTTAAGCAATTTTTAAACGTTATCAGAGGTTATTTAGAAAGAGAGCTTGGTGTAATTGATCCGCAAATTACGTCAGGTGGTAACGTTATTAGCGGGTGTTGCATTAAAAATTGACTCGCGCATATCGTAACCATGATAAGGTACGCGTAAATACGGGATGACGCTATTCGATTTTCCGATATCTCTCTAATAACTGTACCGGTCAGGCGCTGTGCACAATTTTAGAGGCCATAAGTGGGCGTGCTATGTGCGCAAACTAGTCACTTAACTAATGCCCGTTTCCGAAAATTGGAACCACGAAAAACAATAAAGAAAAAACAAAGATTATAATCTGTATAATCTGTGATAATAATTGCACCAGATACTAAAAAACTGAATTTTGTATTAGACAGTGTGGTAAAACGTAACACCTTAAAAATTTTAATTCATTTTTTGACGAATGCTTATTTATAACAACAGAGACGTTCATTTTCATAACTTATTATTATGTTGATTTTTGATTCAAATCCACATTTATTTGGAAGAATTTATTTACTAACACAATTAAGTATGTAATTAATTAATATTTGAGCGGAAATAATTGTGGTATATTTAATTAATGGTATACTCTTTTATAAATATTTAAATAGTTTTCTTTTTGTATACAAATAGACTAGTAATATTATCGTTTTTAGCACCTGTACATTTTGTATATTTCTTGCTTTAAAAACATTCAAGATGTCAATATTCCATAGGTATATTGATAAATGAGATCTAAATTAAAAGAAAATGCATTTTCTACGAAAACTTGAAGGGATAGGTAAAAAATAGTATAATACAATTTGATAGACAATTAAATTGTGCATCTGATTCTCCTAAAATATACAGGGTGTCCCATTTAAATTAAACAAGTTATTTCCGTTTAAAATCAGAAGTTATTTAAAATACATTTTTAAACACTCTGTATAAGGTAGTATTATTTTTATTATTGCAACACAATAACTGATCAATAAATAAACTTCCGTAAATATTTGATATCAAAAACTTTGATACCCTTGGAGAAATGAAGCCTTAAAATTTTTACTGCAATTTCACAAAATTGAAAATATTTCAAAAACGGTAAGGTTTAAGTATGATAAACCTTAATCAAATTTACCTTTATTTTAATCGTAGAAACTAAAAATGTAATAATATACAGGGTGTTCCATTTAAAAAATACAACTTTGTTATTTTTTATTTATTTGGGACACTCTGTATCTTGTAAAAATATTTTTAAATTATGGCTCTGATAGTCCTTCAACGAACCCAAAACTTACAATTTGTAAAAATCTAATCTTTTAGCTACAATACTCTGTGTCGTATGTCGTGAACAACCCTGTAAAGTTTAATTCGACGGACGCCAATGCACCGGTATAAACTGAGGTGGTCTCCGACAACAAACACATGGAAAGGAATTTGCGTCGATCGGGTCGTACCTAAACCAGTAAGTAATAAGCCTATCTCAGTCGTACTCTTACGGAACGACGCGCAACTCAAAAGCGTTCTTTTCACGGCGTGAAAGAGTTGAACGAGCGCGGTACTGATTTTTTTTCAAATAATTTTCCGTACTAAAACACAATTTAGTTATGTGAACTGTGTATTAACTTTGAGTATTTTTTGTGAGATTTATTTATATTGGATATTGGATATTATCTATTTAATTACTAAGTGAGTATTGTTAAGAATAATTGTTATTTTTTAAAGATATGTATACGCATAATACCGTATGATCGAGAAAAAAGGGCGTCAGCGATGGTTATGAAATGAAGATCGCTGTCATTTTATATATAAATTTATATGGGAAATGTCATCGATCGTCATTTCCCAGCCAACTGGACGCCGTTTTTTTTCGATCATACGGTATATAGATATTACTATTATTATTTTTAATTGGAATTTTATAAATATTTGAAGACGATTTAATTTCCAGAAAAAGAATATGTTAAATTTAAGAAAATACATCTTATCATTCTGCAATTATAATTTAGTCAGTTTTTGTATTATCTTTTAATATACCATACCCAATACTCATTGATTTTCGAAATATGATAATTTTATACAAAATGTTCTACTTATTGACAGCCCCAGAACTATAAAATATCAAATTCTTTACTTTTTTAAATTGTTTTTTATAGTAATGACATTACAGTCATTTTTTGAGATTGTGTTTTTCTATCTAATCTTTTTTATACATATACAGGGTGGCGCCTTTCATACGCCTCGCAAGCTCCAAGGAGAACGGTAGTTTATATTGAAGTGAAATTTTGGGCAGCATATGTAGGTTAACTGAAAGCATTTTATAAAAATATATAGAATTATACAGGGTGTCCCCAAAAAAACTTACACATCAAAGTTGTGTTTTTTCTAATGGGACACCCTATATATTAATTGATTTTCGGATTCTAGGAAAAATTAAAGGTGAGTTTTATTAAAGAAGCATATACCTAAAATCTAAGGATTTTGAGTAAATTTTAAATTTCCATAACAGCTACCTAAATTTTAGTTGATATTTGACAGGGCAAAATTAATATGGAACATTAGTCACTTTTAAAAGCAAGTTACTTCTTTCTTTTAAATGGAACACCCAGTATATTATTCCGATGTTCAATGGGGAATTTATATATCTTCAAAATATTATTAAGGTTGCCTACCCCTCAGACAAAGATTTTCATACGTATTTTAATTTTTATGATTTTGCGTCAGTATATAGATCTTTATTATTTGAAAAAATCTAGGTGGCTGGTGATATACATTTTGTTAATTTAACAAAAATTAAAGATTGTAGATTAAAATACGCAACGGTAATAAAAAGATACACGTTTAAAACATATTTTAATTATTACAGAATTAAAACTAGATACAAACCTATAATTATGTGACAAAAATTATCTAGATGAAATCAAATGCTCAAAATTCTTCCTTTCTTGTTAACTGCATAAAATTATTGTCTTTTCAAAAGAATCTTTTCATTTTAAAAGGCATATGTGAAGTGCTCCCTCGAAAAGCAGGTACAATAATTTCTCTCATCATGTCGACAATAGTTGGTTGAGTTTTATAAACACTGTCTTTAACATATCCCCATAAAAAAACCCAGACTAGATAAAATCAGGAGCATTTAAGTATTCTATTAGTTGATGAATGCACACTGCATTCACCAACTAATAGAATCATATCAATCAATTCTTTCTGATGTAGGATAAGTTTGCATTTTCAGAAAATTTCTGATTTTTTTTTGTTTGAACTGACGTAAAATGATAATTAGTTGTTATAGTTCGACTAATTAGACAGCTATGTTGAAGTAACGTCAGACATAATTATCACAGCCACCTAGATTTTATCAAATAATAAAGATCTCCTCAGCAGGGGCGGATACAGAAATTTATTTTAGGAGGGGCCCAAATAAAAAATATTTTGCGCCATTTTTAACCCAAAAGCCTAATATTTAACACAATTTACAGATTTTAGGGGGGTCCCGGGCCCCATGGGCCCCCCTCTGTATCTGCCACTGCTACTCAGATCAAATTATGTAAATGAAACTATCTAGGAAAATCTTTGTTTGAAGGGTAGGCAACCTTAATAGTATTTTGAAGAGACATGAATTCTCCATTGAATATCGGAATAATATACTGGGTGTTTAAGATAAAGGAGTAAAATACGTTTGAAGGTGACCAATGTTCAATATTAATTTTGTCTCACCCTAACTTTTTGGATCAAGTTTTAATTTGATTTAAAGTACAATAGTTAATGTAACTACATAATATTAGGTTATACTTTTTTTATTTAATTTTTTGAATAAATTTACTGAAAATTTTAATTTATTTTAGGAGGTTTCAATGACTTTTTAAATACAAACGTATTACAATTTTTTTTTGGAAGCTTCGCCCCTGCTTAAAACATAGCAAGTATCGGAACAGTATCTCTTATTTGTTTTTTCTGTTATATATGTTGTGATCACTGATCATATGGTACCACGATTTCTTTAATTAGAACTGTAGTTATTTATATCGTATGATCAACTTGTCAACTCTATTAATGTTTCTAACCGCGTCGTCAACTAATATGGAACAATATAAATATGAAAGTTTGCAATAAAATTGGTCTTTAAATAAGTAGTTCTAATTTGTATGAAAATAAAAGTTATTGAATAATATTTTTAACCAACCATTTTGCTTTTCTCTTATTATTTTCGATGATTCGTTCCATTGTATTATATAAAGAACCAAAAAGACAAAAAATACAAATTCCTAATAGAAAACGGTATTGTATATACAAGGGGTTAAAGTCTTCATTTTTTTTCGATCTATTATAATTTTCTTCCAATTATTGGTTTTAGTTATTCGAACGAAATTTGGAGGGTAAAAGTTACTATGAGTGATACATATCTTAATGCTAATAAATGTCAACAGCTTCACCAGGGACGTGCTTATGGGTTATCACTGGAATATTTTTCCAAAAAATATGTGCGCCGCTGGCTTTTTTTCTTTTGAATGTTAGCTAAATTTTATAGACCATTAAATGCTGATTAAAAGTTGTCTTTTAAAGTACAGTTTATTTCTGTGTTTGCCATTTGCAATGATATCCAAATGAAAGTATATGTATACATAAACTTTTATTGCAGCCGAGGGCTAGTTCTGTTAAACCGTTTTCCCTGAAAATAATATAATCAACAGAACAATAATAAAATGTTTGGTACGTGTATGTAAGGGACTTTCTCTTGTCGTTAATAAATTGACGACAACTTTCGATATTCGTTGACAACATATGGATTTTTTCGAATTTCACAGCAACAACAATTAGAAATTTTCGTGAAATCAATATCTGTGTATAAAAACAATCTTTAGTACAATAAGAAGCTAACTAAGATATAGAACCCAGATGCAATCAGAAAAATTTATCTAGGTTGCTAGTAATTTGTTAAAAAAGTATATTAACGAAGATCCCATAGTATGATTATTATAAAATTATTATAATATTTCATTAAACTATAAAGATTTTTTGGCACATTTTTCCCATGTAACGAGTTTTGTGCCTTTAACGCCTATATATTATGCCCTTTTTGAGTCACATCTTCGTTATGCCCTTCCATTCTGGGGTACTTGCTGCGCAAGAAAATTTGATCGTATTTTCAGATTTCAAAAAAGGGACTGAACAGTAGAACTCACTGCCAGAATTTCTTTAAAAATTTCAAAATACTAACTCTTCCCTCTTTATTCATTTTTGAATCCGTTTGCTTAATCCGTAAGCACATATCTGCTATTCCCGAAAGGCCATCTCATAACTATCCACTTAGGAATGCGGAGCACGATCTTTATCTGCCAACCCCGAGCTCAGAACTAGTTAAAGGTTCAATACTGTACAATGCCAAAAAAATGTACAATCATCTGCCTTTGAATATCAAGTCGCTTTCATTCTTTCCCGCATTTCGCAAAGCTCTGCGATCATACTTACTAGACACAGCCCTATATGCGGTAAACAACTTTTTTGTTGATGTTTAATCATGAACAATTTTGAATTTTAATCAAAAAATTTTGATCATCTCACACACTGGTCAAAGGTCAAGTATTTAATATTTTCTAACTCTTAAAATTATATCTATTTACTGCTTATTGTTCTGCAACTGTCCATGTATATTCTATTTGTAATTTTAATGACTTAAAATTTGTTTGAATTGTATGATTTGTATTGTGTATTTTTTGTTGTTTATCTTTGAATAAAAAGGTTAGAAAGGAGTATAATGTTATCCATGTATTCATGCATGGTGGGCGGAAAAAGGACTCTAGGGTGGGGATCTATGACAGTACTGTTTGACGATTCTTTTGACGCATTTGAATTTGATTTGAAATTTTGTGGATTTGTCAGTCTTTACTGAGCTTATTTTATTTTATTTATTATTTATTCTACTATTGATAGTTGTATAAAGGTAGTGAATCTAGATGGAAATTGAATGACACTATTACGATTTATCGAAAAAGACTGTAAAATAGTTGGTTGTGTAGCTTGCGGTAGATCTCGGTCAAAAATCGAGTGAAATAATGGAATAACTTTTCGCTAGTAGGTAAGTGACTACTACGTGACATATAATATACATACGTGTAGTAAACCGATCATTTATGAAATTCACTTATATTAACTAATTATATATTTTTTCTTGCATTTTTTTGCTTTTATTTACTACTTGTCAAAGATTAGATGTCAAAGAATTTAGATACGTCAATTTGACTTACCTGCTTCAGTAGCGTATCGGATGTTTGCGTTAATAAATAATTATTATAACTTATATATTTTTATAACAATTTTAATACCTACCAACATTTATTCACAACGTAAAATAAAACAACAAATTATTGAGTTTACCCCAGTCGGCCATATTTAAGTCCCATCGCGGTGGATGTAAGATTTTTGATATGCTCCTTCCTTAATCTTTTTATTCAAAGGAACAAATCAATAGGGAAAATTTGTCCAAAACACAAGGCGAAAAAATAAGCAAAAAAATCCACCCGGGGTCCTCTCTTATCCAGTCCGACCCTGAATGTTGGGTCACAACAAATCACTGTATTTTATTTAGTCCCTTTTATACTTATAAAGTGTCAAAGGTTTTTATTTAATTTGATTTTAAGAGCCCGTAGCCGTAGGCATGTTCTGGTTGTACAGGAATTGCATACGTATTC